ACATCTCGACACATTTCCAGTGCTTGTAGTCTACATTCTAATCCTTTTCGTGCATCTCCTAGATTGTCATAACTGTATGCAACGTTATTCAATACCCTTGCCACATCTGGATGACTGCCTTTATATAGATCTCCACACATTTCCAGTGCTTGTAGTCTACATTCTAATCCTTTTCGTGCATCTCCTAGTTTGTCATAACTGTCTCCAACGTTATTCAATACCCTTGCCACATCTGGATGACTGAATTTGTGTAAATCTCGATACATTTGCAGTGCTTGTAGTCTATATTCTAATCCTTTTCGTGCATGGCCTAGTTTGTCATAACTGTATCCAACGTTATCCAATAATCTTGCGACGTCTGGGTGACTGCTTTCATATAAATCTCGATACATTTCCAGTGCTTGTAGTCTATATTCTAATCCTTTTCGTGCATGGCCTAGTTTGTCGTAACTGTATCCAACGTTATTCAGTGAATTTGCGAGGAGTGCATGACTGCCGGCGTATAATGTTTTTAATATGTTCAAGTTATTTTGATAATATTTTATTAAGTTTGCAAAATTGCATAGGTTTTTTTCATCGTATTTTGCTAGTTTTAAATATGTGTTGGCTAAGTTTTCGTCGTATTGAAGTCCTGGTGGTAAATTCAGTTTTATCAATGTATAGGCAAAGTTCTTCTAGCGCTTCTTTTTCTTTAACGATGTCAATTTCATTATTACTGTTTTCTTCTGTTAATATTTCTTTTAGTATATCTATGCTTATAAAATTTTCATCTAAATAAACGCAATGCTGTAATAATTTCCATCCATTTGGTGATTCGTTTATTAGTTCTCTAAGCAAATACTCTTCTGCTTCTATCTCCCCATGTTCTTGTATTTTTTCTTCATAATTTTGTATGGTCCATGAAGTTTTCTTTTGTAGTAAAGCCACCACTTTTGACAATTTAAATGGATAGACTTTTTCATTTGTTTTTATCAGATCAATTAGTTTTTCTGCTTGAAACTGACTAAACGTTCGCTTTTTATCTAATTTGTTTATATATTCAATACATTCACCTTTATTAAATGGTTTCATTTCTAAATTTGATCCGTTGCCAAACTTGAAATTGTCTTTCAAATTATTATTTTTAGTTGTTATGATTGTTTGAACATTGCGTGGTAAATTTATTATTAATTCATTAATATCATCAGCATCTTTTGCATTGTCAAATACAAACAGAATATTTAATCCCAATATTTGTAGTCTACTATTTACCAAATTTATAATAATTTGTCTTTCATTTATTTCATTTCCTATTCTAAGTTCTTGTGTTGCCAAATTTTTGTAATCATTCCAAACAAAATCTTTTGATTCAGCATTAAACCAACGAACTATTTTATTATTCTCATCGTTTTGTTCATGAGCATATTTTAATGCAAGTGTTGTCTTACCCGAACCAGCATAACCGCTAATGATAACATCTTTATTTGATTTTGAAAATATGTCTTCTATTTCCTTGAATAATGCTTCTTTTCGTATAAAATTTCTTATGCTTTCATTTGGTACATTGCTTGATAATCGTATTAATGTTTTATCCTCTCTCAAATCTAAAATATCCTTTTTTAAATTATCAAATTTAGTGTTGTCATATTTATTTTCGTTCATTTCTGAAACGATTGTTGAATATTTATTTTGATTTGTAAGTTCAGATAGACTTAAACTTATCTCATCAAGTGTTGATACCATTGACGTTATTACTTCATTCTCAATTATTTCATTTAGTTTTTTTCTAATTTCATCATTGTCGTTTGAATATTTTAAGAGATCATAAAGACTTTTTATTTCTTGTTTATATTCATTGTTGTCTTTAATGTCTAATTTTTCGATCTCCTTTATTAAGTCTTCCTTGTGTCCTATCATCAAATCAATTATTTCTTCTCGATATTTTTTAAATATTTCTTTATCACTATAGGATGACGATAATACAGAATCGATTTTCTTTTCATAATCTTCTTTCATATTTTGATCATCACATAGACCAGTAATTATTCGTTTTAGTTCATGTTTATAATAATCATAATCATGGTCATTCAACTTTAATGTAATTAGATGACCAAAATTTACATTTCGTATTAATCGTAATCGATTAAAATTAGCAGCTAATGAATGATCATTTGGATCCATTGAACTAAGATTTTCATCCCACCGGCCCTTCTTTGGTATCTCTCCAGTTAAATTTCGTAATATACTATAACAAGATGATAAATCAAATTTATCTAAATTATTTGGTATACATAAATTATTTATTGGATATGGAAAATTAGAATTTATTTCCAATATTGTCTTCTTAACATGTATTAAATGAGAGTCATTTAGTATTTCAGTTGAATTATTTTTTAAAAAAGTAAAAACGTTTCCATTCATCAACTTTCTATTATTTATAAGCTGATAACGCATAACTTGTGTACCATAATCAATCAATATTATGGATATCTTGATTACGTTTTCTTGTTCTTTTGACATTTTTATGTTTTATTTATTCATTGTTTTGATGAAAAGTTTCTAAAGATAAATATTAATAAATTAACACTTGAAATTTTCTTCAAAATAATATTTGTGATTTTTCGAATTCGACGACAAAATAGAGTAAAAAATCTAGAAAAGATAACAAGCGAACATAAATGAAAAGAATCGATGTAATTTAAGAGAATGAAACTTAACACACATCAAATCTGGACCCATCATGTTATAACCACTTAGAACAACAGCGTCGTTGCGCAGCTGTGAAATTGTTTTCGTGGAAAAAGACTTTTAAGACGTAGTCAATATCGCATTTGCCATAAATTGTAATTAAAAAAAAAAAAAAAAGCAGGGCATAGTAAACAATGGAAATAAACAATAATTTTCATTGAAACGTGCTACACCGTCATGCACAATTCTCAATTTTGGCATGATGTCATAGACGGATCCCATTTGTGAACTTTGCATTTGGAAGCAGAGTTTGGAATTATTCCATGATTATTTTCTGTTGATTATAATAGCAGAAAGTGGGCCACTATTGTCAATCTATGACAATTGTTCGGATATTTTTTCACTATGTTCATGATTTATTACTGCTAACATTGTACCCAGGAAGAAATTTGGACCTTCGCAGGTCCTTTTAATGTATTAAGAAGTTCTCATAAGTTAGATTCATGTGTCACAATAAGGCATTCGAGCGCATTAAAGTAAACAATTTCGCGCCGCTAATACGTATGAACGCATTAAAAGGACAAAAATCGAACCTGAATCGCAACAATACTGTCCGAAGTCTTACAATGTGTTAAATCTGAATTTTATACCAAAAATGTGTCCGAACGCATTATTTTGTCCAAAAATGGACAAAACTAAGCCTTCGGAAGGCGTAGAATGTGTGAAAAGAAGGTTTTCACAGTCTGTGGATTTTAGCTCGCATTAGGAAATTCGAAGGCGTTAAAGTGAAGGCTTTTAATGCGTTCGAAGGAGTGCAATGTAATTACGAACGCCTACATGCATGAAAAAAAACGGACTCAGTCGAACGAACACAGATAGTGAGTATTAGTCATGGCGTTGCACGCGTTCCACATCTTAATGCGTGTTAAGCCTTGGTGTAATTGGGAACGTCTTCGCATAGATTAAAAAATGGAACGCATGTACATAATGAATTTTCATAGTCCATGTGAAGGCATTCTAACTTTTTTATCCGTTCAAAACAATGCGCTGTAATGACAAAGGACTTTGCACGCATTAAGAAAGTGGAATGCCTGCGAAAAGTGAACTTTTTGATGCCCTGACATGCATTCCATTATTTAATGAATGTGAAGCGATGTAATCTACCGACGAACGGTTCTGCATCCGTTTCGCTGTTCCGAATGCGTGTGAAGGTATTAAAATTTTTTAACTGTTTTCATTCAGTAAAACTTTCGCACGCACTACATATGAGAAATAAATAATCCTTTTTCTTTTCCCTATGTTGATGTTTCTAGTGACTCACTAACATTCTAGTGAGACTAGTGTTATGCAGTAAAAACTATCGTGATTAGTTCTCTAACTTGTTCACTTTATTCAGTAACAAATTACTATATATCACATTCACAAAAATACAGCTATATATACATATCACCGAAAATCCGAGAAAGGATTAGAAAAGAATCTAATCACGTCAGAGGAACTGGTCAGAACATGACATCATTAGGTCATGACATACAAAGAAGAACAGGAAAGAATACGTCATTTACTACTGACCAGATTAATGACGTCAGTAGAACAGGACATAACATGACGTCATGACGTCAGAAGAATAAGAAAGAAGAATAAACATATGATCTCCATACGTCATCATATCATAACATGTGATTTGAACAAAATCGAATGCAGTAAAGTATCTCGCGTAAGAAAAGAACTATTACTTAACACCTCCTGACACTAGTGACTCACTAACATTCTCATTATCATCATCATCATCGGTCGGGCACTTTAGGCACGCCACTCCAAACAGTCCAATCAGTTTTATTTTGTGCTGTCTCAGTAATCGTTTTGGCAGTGAAGGTGGCTTGACCCTGTTCGTCTGGGTACATGTGGCAAGCGATTTGATGAGTATACGTTTTGCGCTGTTTTCGGACTCCTTCTTGATGTTGTTCTTCGATTCATAGAGTACGTAGAGTTTTACTGGTTCGTCGTCTTTCATACGAAGGCAGTGTCCGGTAAATTCTAGTTGACGTGACCGAATTGATGTTGATATCGGTACTTGGTTCATGCGTTTATAGAGTTCCTTGTTTATCACATGATCATCGACTTGTTTGATTCCCAACATGATTCGAAAACAAGTTCTTTGACATACGTCTAGCTGCTGTTTCAGGTCTTCTGTTGAGATCCAAGTTTCGCTGCCATAGCGGAGGATTGAAACACACGCGGCGGTAAAAAGTCGACTTTTGAAGTTGATGTTTACCTTTTAGTTGGTTACGCACAAAATAGGTTTAAGGCTCTTGAACGCTACCCAAGCGAGTGAAATTCTTCTCAAGACGTCTCTTTCAGTGGATTCCATTTGTGAACCCAGATATTTGAAATCATTAACGACGGCGATGTTTCGTCCATTGATCGTAAGAGGTGCGGGTGATAAAGCCACTGCTATTTTATTGATCATTGGTTCGGTTTTTTCGATGTTGATTTCAAGTCCAACTTTGGCAGCATTGACTCTGTACTCGTCTAGTTGTTGTTGAGCTCTAGTGGCGTCGCTTTCGAGTAGAGCAATGTCGTCAGCAAAGGCTAAATCGTTGATTTTGCGTTCCGGATTGGTGATGATGTCGTGTGAATCTTTGGCCTTGAGCTGTTCCAGTGCGTGTAACATATCCAAAATTGCCGGCTGACAATTTTGAGACGTAGTTAATAACTATGATGAAGAGGAAAGGAGCTAGGAGATCGCCTTGAAGCACTCCTTGTCACTTTGAATTGCTCTGATAGTTGACCTTCAGCGTATACTTGGCTAGATGAATTATCGTAGAGAACTCGAAGTGCTAGAACTATTAGTTCCGGGATTCCGTAATGACGAAGGATGGCGAACATCATATCTCTGTCGATTGAATCAAATGCTTTTTTGTAATCGATGAACGTAATGAATAGTGGGCTTTTGTCGGTGTTGGCTCCGTCCATTATTCTTCTCAGGATATGTATTTGTTGGTTGCAGCTGCGACCAGTCCGAAAACCAGCTTGGTTTTTTCTGAGAGTTTTTTCGATTGGCTCTCTGATTCGATTCAAAAGTATACGGTTATAGACTTTGGCTGCCATGGACATTAGGGAAATGCCTCTGTAGTTGGTCATCAAAGATAGATCGCCTTTCTTTGGAAGAGGAATGAGCATGTGTGTTGTCCAGAGTGATGGGACAAAGAGTTCACTGAAGACTAAATTACAGATGATGAAAGTTTGGAATACAATGAACTCTCCTCCATTTTTTAAGATTTCCGCTGTCATTGCGTAATCGGATCCTGGCGATTTATTGAGTTTTAGGCTTTCGATTTCGTCTTTGACTTCCTTGTGAGTAATTGGTTTTGTTTTAATCTCAAGATTGTCGGTCGTTGGCTGAGGATGGCTCAAAACGTCGGTACTTGCATTCTTGTTGTTGAGAAGCTTGCTGAAGTAAGAGGCCCAATCACTGAGAATGTCCTCTTTTGAGCTTGGAATTGACCCATCAAGCCTTTTGACTTTGTTGACAGGTTTTTTAGTTTTTCCGCTTAGTTGATTAACGATTTGTCAGATCGTGCGGTATTCGTACCGTTTGTCGGCCTCTTCGAGAGCTTTGGGTTGAGCGTCTTGATACTTGATTTGATCACGCTCATAGGCCTTTGAAACTTCTCTTTGTAAATTCTTCCAGGCGCATTTGTCGATGTCCTTTTTCGAATCTTGAAACTTCTGTTTGACTTGGTCTTGAGCTTCGAGTAGCCCGATTGTTGCTTCGCTCACCCAATTCGGTTGTTTTTTGGACTTTTTTTCACCTAGAATCGCCTCACTCGTATATAGAAGAGCCTTGTTGAGTGCTTCGGTCCTTTTTGTTATTTTTTATTCGGCCCTGTCTTCCTGGGCTTCGTCATAGAGTAGATTGAATTTGTTCTCGAGTTCTAGGTTAAACGGTTCGAGCCTTGCATCGGATTTTCTACGAGTCCCGGGACTGACACCCAGTGACTATTGGTAGGCTTGAAAATGGATGGACTATAGGTAATCGATCATGCTCAGTCTCGTGGTAATATTTGTTTTAGAAAAAGTTTTAAAAAGCTACCGAAAAGTAGGGTTTTCAGGCTGTTTTCACCTAATATTAAAAAATTCATAACTCACTCAATTTTCAACTTCAAATTAACTGTCTTCTCTGTATCTTCTCTCACATTCAGAGAAGAGGGAGTTCAATTATAAAGTTCACAGTTGCTTTTGGCCCACCACGGTTACTTCATAGTGATAATGGAAAGGAGTTTGTTGCAAGAGTTACAATTGAATTAAAACAATTGTTTCTTTCATGGTCACACACAGATGTTCTAGCTTCTCAGCTAATCACTCCTTCTCGAGATTGTGATTATTCTTTAATTCAAGCTCCTTGTACATCTAATACATCAGTGGGTGAGTATGGCTTATCACCTAGCAGGAGAAACTAAGAGCATGATTTTAGCACATATAATTAATTTTATGACTTTATCAGTTGTGATCTCTGATTTTCCCATTTTAATTCCAATTTTGCCCAGTCAAACTTAGAATTCTAATTTTGCCTGCCACACACATGTTTATTCTGAAATATAGAAATAATAAAACATAAATAAGGGTGTCATTCTTCTCTAGCCATAATTCATCTCTCTCTGACTGTGCGCAGATCACTCTCTTTGTACATGTTCTATATTTCTCTCTCATTAATTTTCACGTTGAAAAACGATCGAGATTTCAATGTTAAAATTCGAAAAAAATCAAAGCAATCGGATAGGGTAGAAATAAAGGGATGGACACAACAGAGGACCCGAGTCTTATATCGAGTCCTTAGTATAGTTCTCTTTTGTTGTTTAGTGGCACACCCTAAATGGCAATTCACGAAAGGAAATCACCCTAAATAGCAATTTTATACAGTATAAGCAAGAAATGAGAAAACATAGTTGAACTATAGAGATCAAAGGTACTGCTTTGTACATTTTCCTTTATTCTGATATTATCATTTTCCATTTTCCTTATTCGAGTACAATGAATGACTTTCCGGCTTTCTCTTCGAATCACGGTAGTTTGATAGAACGTTCTTCGAAAGCTTCTTCCCGCTCTAGCTGTTGATCAGTGCATATTAAGTAATGAAAATAAAAGAAAAAGCTCAGGAACAGATAGAGAGATTCTTGACAAAAAGTACAGTTCTTAAATGACAGAGAAACGAGCAGAACCAAAGAGATGAAAGTGATTTCTACAAAAAGGAAAATCTGGTGAAAGTTTGTGCGATGGAGAGCCAATGGTTCCCTTATGATAATTATAATCTATTTATACATGTCTTTTTGCACTTGATGCAAGTACTCAAATGCTTGTTTATGATGGTGAAATTCTTCCATAACGAAATACTTTTCTATCAATATCGTTTTATGTATTGATAGCAACGATCACTGTGTGGTCAGATTCACGGCAAGAAAATGCTTTAATCTTGGGTAGCGTTTCAAAATATATTCCGGTCGGTTGGTCACTGTTCCTCTGTTCTGCAACTATTCCTGTATTCCGCTGTTACACAACATTTCATTTTGTAATAATTTTTATCTAAACGTGCACAGACGCTTCGTTTTCTTTTCTAATTGATTTGATTACTTCTTCAAAGACAATTAACCGCTATTTGTCAAGAGAGTTTTCTTTTATCAACATATCACAACACATAGAGTAAAGTGTCTAATTAGGACTGATATCAGATTTGTCTAGCTTGTAACTTTAGTACCTCAGTAAGGTTTGAATCGATTTTCACCGAATCTGCGACTTTTGTAGCTAAAGGTCTTGGCTATTTAATGATCTAAAAATGATTCCGAAATTCCCATAGGGGACGGATCAGAGCGATTTAATAAGGGGAGGGTCGTTTTGGTTGAAATTAGGCTCTGTGCCAAATGGGAACCGTACAACGAGATGTGTGTCTAATTGGAAAGAACAATTTAATTCACTAAAGTTAATCGGTGCATGTAGTTTAACTTATGTACTTCAGATGGACGTAAAAACCACAGTTAAGTATATTCTAGTTAATTGTATAAAGCTGATGTAATTAAGCGTAATTTCAAAGTTAGTGCTGTTCTGTTATATGAATAATCCATGAAAATATAAAATTCATTCTTTTCTTACTTTCTTGTTGTTTGTATGTATCTATATATGCGTAT